TTCGCTTACAACCCGTTACATATGAGATGATCCAAGGTACTATAGTAATTATAAGAACCACAAAAGTGTCGAAAGCAAATGCTGCTGATGACACTCTGGCATAATAACGTCGCAATTCATACAACTTGTAGACTTTCATGTTTTGGCTTTGACAAGACACATAGAAACAAGCTTGAATGATAAGTTTAAACAAATTTGTCATCCAGAAAAATATATCGACAGACTCCCTCGTTACTTCCAAAAGCGGTCACAGGTTATTATCATATTCTTTAATAGGTTTCAAAAAGGGCAGTGACTTTTGTACTTGTTGTGATTATACTTGCTTTGAGTACTTATTGCACCAAAAAGCATTCTTGGTCTACTTTAACTAAAAGTAATTTGGTTAAAGTTTGAAATTTTTTGTTAGATTTTGTCCTAGGTACCTTTTTTTACTCATTGTGTGTTTTTAAACCTTTTAAATCTAATTACAATGGTTGGTATGACTCACAAATGTGGGCAACCAAACTGTTTGTTCCCCGTTGAGGAGGGAATGCAATGTGATGACTTTAAAAAGTGGTACTACAAAATGTGTACACATCTAAGTCCGATGGCTTACAAAAGATGCTCGAAGCCTAACTCGCATTGGCTTTGTATGTTCTGATGTACGGATATAAAGGTACTAATTCAGGAGGCTATGGGCCTATTGGCTTTGGCCTGCAAGAAAAACGATGACTCATGCGCTGAAAGAGACATATTATTGAAAAACGCACCAAAAACTCGTGACTCAAGTATCCGTATTTGACCAGATTGGCCGCTTGAGGATCGAATCAAGTGGAAAAATGCTCTTACGGAGTCGAGGACTCGCAAATTAAATGGCGAAAATAACCTTACTATTAAGGGTTTTCGGGTAGTCAGGTCTTGGAAGTCAATGCTTCCGAGGCCTGTATGGGTAGGACGATTGATTGCCAAAACACCTTAAGTGTGTGCTACATGAACGCTCGTAGTCCTAGAAATAAAACGTCCGAGCTAAGTCTGATGGTGGAAGAATTATGTCCCGATATAATCGTTGTTACAGAAACTTGGTTCACAGTAGATATAGACTGTTCTCCGTTCATTGCAGGCTATATCTGTATTAGAAGTGATAGAGTTTCAAGTCGCAAAGGGGGGAGGTATAATATTATACGTTAGGGATCACTTTCGTATACAATCAACAATATCGGAGGCTCATATCAGTGGCACATGTGAGGTTGCATGTTGTAAGATTAAATCTAGAAGTGGGTTGGTGACTATAGGGGGAATATACCGTAGTTTGTTTTGTCTTGCTGACGACTTTATCTTAAGACACATCTGTTCTTGGAGTATGGCAGAATGTTGTCTCATCATTGGGGACTTCAACGCACCACATATCAACTGGATAGAGCTTACGGTTCCAGTTAGTGGTTTCGATAGCGACCTTTTTTCTACCGTTATTCAGTGTGCACTTGTACAATGTATCACAAAATCGACACATATTGATTTCAATCATGATTCGTCACTGATGGACCTCGCACTCACCCACCACTGTGAGGATGTCTTTGATATTCAGCACCTTCCCCCACTAGTTAACAGTGACCACGTTGTAATTCACTTTAAGTTTAGGACACATAGTATACAATTCGTATCTGCTCCACCCCGTCCCAATATCTGGCGAGCCAATATTCCGGCGATCAGAAACTGTGCTATCTCGACTGATTGGTTGGCCGACGCGGGTGGATTGATCGAAGATCAATGGAATAAGTTTAAGGCTACATTTAAGTCCGTAACGTCGCCATTTATCCAATGGTCAGCACGTAAGCTATCACACTGCCCTCCATGGATTAATAAGGAAACCCGGAAGCTGTTAAAGCGTAGGAAACATTTCTGGGACTTATTTTTGTTGACAGGTCATGAACCATTTAAGCATGAGTACCGAAATACCGTAATATCTGTAAGAAAACCATAGCCAAATCCCGTACCGCTTACGAACGACAGTTAGTATATGATAGCCGTACTTGTCCGAAACGATTGTTTTCGTATGTTAAACGGCGGACGAAACGTGGTGATGGTATTCCCCCGTTACTGTTACACGAAAATTCAGAATTACTAGCTGAATCAGATCGAGCAAAAGCTGAGACTTTTTCAAACTATTTTAGCGAAGTATTCTCTACGTTTATTGTAACAAATACTTGTCCCACTCACACCGAGATACCAACCATGGAATCTGTACAGGTGAATGAGGAAACTGTCTTTCCGTTGATAACTAACCTCAAACCTGGTAAGACACCGGGCCCTGACGGGTTACATCCACGGTTGCTGTCATCTCTTGCGGACATTATTTCAAAACCGCTTGCGACACTCTTCAACATGTCCCTCTCACTCGCTCAACTCCCTAGAGATTGGAAGGACGCTATAGTTAGTCCTATATTTAAGGACGGTCAGCGACAGATAGCATCTAACTACCGGCCTGTTAGTCTAACTAGCATAGTCGTTAAGTTACTTGAAAAGATAATTCGGGTTAGGTTGCTAAGCCACATAGCTTCACACAATCTGTTAGCTCCTGACCAACACGGATTTCGTAACAAGCGTTCATGCTTGACCAACTTGCTTATTGCGAGCGAGGACTTGACAGCAGCCCTAGATAACGGTCTGTCTGTCGATGTGATATTCATAGATTTTATCAAAGCAGTTGATAAGGTTTCACACGTAGGTCTTATGCAGAAGCTCACGAGCTTCGGAATAATAGGTACTGAACGGGAGTCGATGGGAAATTTCTTATGTGACCACAGACAAAGAGTGAGGGTCAATGGAACGCTATCAGATTGGAAGCCGGTCAAAAGTGGTGTACCCCAAGGCACCATCTTAGGTACTCTGCTCTTTCTTCTCTACGTTAATGATTTACCGCTGTTACTTAGGTCATCGTCAAAACTGTTTGCGGATGATGTAAAAATCCGGAGAACAATAAAAAGTGCGGCTGATCATGTGGATATTCAAGCTGACTTAGACGATTTAGTTAGATGGGCTCGAGAGTGGGGCTTAGAAATCCATGCTAGGAAGAGTGTGCTAATGCACATCGGTCAAGGTAATAGTTACCGTTACACTATTGAGGGTAAACCTCTGCCATGCGTTCAAGAGCATAAAGACTTAGGAGTAGTATTAAGTCATGATTTAAAAACAACTACGCATTGCAAAGCAGCCGCTGTCAAAGGTTTTCGTGCGTTATGGTCAATTCGCCGAGCGTTCAAATCTTTTGACGAAGAAACGTTTCGAATTTTATATCCCACCTATGTAAGACCACACTTAGAGTACTGTATCCAAGCAGCCATCCCGTGTCTGGTAAAAATACTAACTCCCTTGAGCGTGTCCAGCGTGTGGGAACGAAATTAGTGAAGGGTCTTTCTAGACTCCCTTATGATGAGCGTTTAAAACGCATAAATCTTTTCCCCTTGTCGTATCGTAGGACACGAGGTAACCTTATACTGGCATTTCGTATCTTTAATTATGATTTGGGTGTTAATATGTCTCATCGTTTTGCTCCCTCCAGCACTAATAATCTCCGCGGTCATAGCAAGAAGGTTCATAAACCAAGATCTAATAAACTTGAAGTGGGGTCCCGTTTTTCTCGTCGAGTAGTCAATGATTGGAACGCCTTACCCGAACAAGTGGTATCAGCCCCTATAAATCTTTATCTGAGGTGTATTGGTTACCTTCAAGGAAAGAAAGGCATTGTATTCATCCTTTAGGGATGACAATCAAGAAATAAACTGACACTTTAGGAGAAACTTACTCGTCTTCAATGTTGGCAGATGACAACAAACTTGCCTTTAACACCATCCATCTGAGACATTTCGCAGACTACGAATACAACTTAGATAACCTATTTATAGAGGTATCCCAAGTTGGGGAAAAATCTGGGAATATTAGTATCCAATGATCTGAAGTCTTACTCTGCGACAAAAATGCTTTTCCAGAAAACCTTCCATTGACGACGTCCAATCTCATTTGCTACCAGTTCGACGGGGGATGGATTGTATTTTACTATGATTCACTAATTTTTTTATATTTCATCAATAATATATTTAGGTTTCTGCTTGGAGGTATCGATGGTCCGCTACTGCTAGATATGGAAGCCCGTTAAGCGAAAGCCTCTTCTATTCCGACTAAAACCATTTGAATAAGCACCTAAATTTGGTAAAGTTATGTGAAATCCACGACCAAAGACCTGTTCTTTCAGGTTCTTATTAGTGGTTTAACTTATATCAGTTCAGGATTTCAATCAAACACTATGGTCAGGATAACATTATTGTGACATTAGTACTAAATGAGGATCTATCCCTAATTGACTCAGTGTTTATCAGGAATTCTAAATGTAATGCATTCACTTATGTTCACCTGGTTCTATCTGCCTTAACTTGCACTATTCTGTGAATCCCATATTGATTGGTGCATTTATTCGATTACTCTAATATGATAACTAGAAGTATTTGACTTATAGTACAAACTAGGAATCCCAGAAATTACGCAATTGGACAAGAAGTACTAAACAAGGACGAACGGATGTATTGTGTTTGGGATTCAAAATCAGGCATTCAATATGTACAAAGGAAAAGTTAATTCATATTTTTAGTGAATTCTCATCCATCCAAAATTCCTTAAGATCTGAGGTTGAACAGGAATTTCATCTGACTGCTTATATTCTGCCAAGCAACACTCATGCAACGTCAACCGATCCTATCTCAACTAGCTTTTGCTTATTAGTGACTAGCTGGTTAATCACGGGCTTGTATGTTCCTGTGGATCAACTTACTTAGCATTTTCTTGGTCAAATGTCAATCGCTATTTTTTGTCTTGTTTGCATTTACTATGAAGTATAAGTTTATGATTTGCAGATTCGAAGTATAAACTAACGTTTTTCAGATGACTATCACGAGGTGAAACTGTCTTTCAATATTATATAATCTTGAGTGTATATTTCAGTAAAACTTAAGATCAATTAGTAAGACAAATTACAAAGTATCAATTGGTTTTAATGCAGAACTATGGATAAATTAAACTAAGATATATTCATTAAGATATCGAACAATCACAAAATCACAGTCTCCACTTGTGATTAATCACTGTTACTCTAACATGCAGGGATACGTATTATGTGTAAAATACACGAGGAAAAAGCATATGCTTTAACAATGATTCCAATAATACATAGAAAATAGTGCATACTCAAGTTGATAAAACTGATAATCACTATTGAAGTTTATATGTACATTTTAATTAACATTATTATTATTGTTTACTCAAAACGCAAACAATTTATTTACACAATGTAATGTGCCCGTTAATTATACGATTTATACTTAATATCCTTATCTTGATTCTCTAAATGTAAATCATCATCAGTACGACTATTATTTTCAGATTTTTTGCGCTGATCAATATTCATTGGAACTCGAATAACCAATGCAGCATCATCAAAGAAAGGATTTTTAGCGTGCAGTTCACTTAACCAAAGTCGAATAAGTGCGGAAGATGCAGGTGATGGGATTTGTGGTAAACTGTATCTTTCTTCTTGATTTTGTTGTTTACGATCTTTTGAATCTGTATGATGAATTCTGTTAGAAACTTCCCAATCATATAACTTTTTCTGATTATCCAAAGCATCTGGTTTAGGTACAACAACTCCAACAGCAAGTATTGTACCCTCACCTTGTTCATGTTGACATAGATTGGATGGTAAATATTTATAGACATGACTTTGACGAATTGAAAGCCAACGTTTATCGAATTCTGGTTCACACTTACTTATAAATCTTGTAAAGACATTATCTTCATTACAGTGGTGTAATTCAGTACCAACTGAACTCACTGTAGGAAGAAGACTCATATGTGGAAAAAGTGAGCGATTCGCATTTTGGGAATTGGAACTATTCAGTACTATATTTGAACTATCATTAGAATAGTTGAAGAATGAAAGATTATACGGTTCTGTAAAGCGAAAATGTATAAAAACGCAAATGAAAAATGTAAGATATAAGTAGTGCATTGTGACTATGAAATGGAGAACTAATTATTTTACGTAATCTGTCCAGCAAATACGCGAGCTAAGGTCATATAAACTCCGTTTGAACAAATCTCGTCCTTTTGACAATATTCTCTATCTATAGTAATGGATTTAATTTCAGTGCTAAAAATATCGTCGGTAGTTAAATTATTCAACTTATCTGAGAGGATCACATGCGACGACGGTCTTTTCATATTTAAATAATTAACAATCACTGAAACAGAGAATCAGAAATTTCAAAACACAAAAGACGATGTGCATCCGATCTTGCCATCAATACAAAAGTTTAACTGTCATCTTGACCCTGTATAATGCTTTTATGATTTTACGATCTTCACTGAAACACTTGATTTATGTGTAAACAGAACCCCTTTATGAATTTCTTGGTTTTCTACAAACTTTAGCAAATGTCTGGTGCTATTCACTCTGAGTATTCATTGAATAACCTTAATAATCTAATTAATAAATGGTTTGCAACTTATCTAATTAATTTTTCTACAGTAAGTATGGAAGATAATTTAGAATTTAAGAGAGAAATATAGAAAATAAGAGGAATGATTAGTGGCGCAATGATGTAATTGGTTGGAACGTTTCAAGTAATCTTATTGAGATAATTCAGCATAAGTGATGAGGTGTATTCCATCAGGTAACCGGATAACCAATGGAAACTGAAATATGGAAGACATTCATTTTATTGTGGTCTGAGATTTATTGGAAGTGTGAATATCAAGTGTAAGAGCAACAATTTTCATTATAAAAAACAGCATCATTTAGTCTGGTTCGATTAAATGATACTTTTAATCTTTAAAATATCAATGTATAATGTACAGTGCTTTTTTCAGAATTATGTTTTTGTCATGATCGCAGCCGAATGAGTTGGGTCTGACAATTATTTGAGAACCTTGAACATTAGTTAAATGATACCATATGGGATCAAAAATGTCAGAACACTGGTGATTAGACTCAGAGGTGAGTAAAGCAAAGAATGTTCAATGTATAAACTTATTAGACTTTAAGCCATATAATACAATAAAGAGATCGATTAATGATTTAATTCATACGATATTGAAATCAACAACTATTTCAGGTGAAAATCTTCTAAAAGAGAATCATCTTACAATTACTTTCCCCTAAAGATTGACTAGAGATCATATACAATTAAAAACATATATAAATGAAAAAAAATAATCCTAACATTCTGAATGATAAATTTTCAAGTCTATCTATGGAACGATTCAATCAAAATGTATGTCAATTAAGAAAAGTAAGCAAAAACGAAATATCAAACTTGGGTGGTTATTCCTTGATGAGTTATTATATAGTCCTAAGTGTTGACCCAACTCACTAGCTGTCGTTGTATCTTGTACTTCGTGGTGTTGTGATCTGGGAAGATACTTACAATCATTCATCTGGGATTTATGCTGTTTGTTGATTGGAACTCTGAGGACGTGTGGATGAATACAGTACCGAATTTGGTGGTTAATAGAGTATGTAAGATCATTATAATGTCTGTTTTGATCGACCACCTTATATAAAATCATTCTATAACATGAAAAGCACAACAACAGGATCTTTAACGGAAATAAACACTTACCGTCTGCACTATGCTTTGGCACTTCGTTAACTTTTACTGAATTAATTTCTTTTTTTAATCGATCAGCATCGATCTCTGTCCATAAGGTGTAATAAGCAGCCTATGCATAAAGAAGTGAGAAAAAAAGGATTACATTGACACCATGTTACGACTCCACTTGTTTAGTATCTATAACCACTACATTTCACTCAACTTGTCCCAACCCAGAATAAGGATAAAATGAAAACAAAATACATATAAAATGACCGAAACAATAAAGAGTCTAGTAGTAAAGACACAAGCGTTTATAAAGATTTTGATTACGACTGAGTAATAATTTAAATGGATTTATAATTGAGGTAATCCTTTCTGGACACAAATTAGTTTGCCAAATTTTCGCTAAGAAATGTTTTATAACGGTAGATGAAGTCATAATCCATAACCACTTTTCATCCCTTTGATGAGTAGTACACGTCTCAAACGACCCGATAAATATTGAGAAAACATTGATGTCAACGAATCGGATTTACTTTGTATTTATGTATCTAACAGCTGGATTAGGGGATGAGGAAGCGGAAACAACTATATATTAGATCAAACAAACTTTGTAGATATACTTGAACCATTTACTTATTCACAAATGGAGTAAAATTTATTTCACTTTTTAAAGATACAATCAACCAAAGAATAAAATTGAAGAGATATGAATTATCTATGTACATTAAGATGGTGGGCAATATTTGAAGTTTATGTAAATGGATTTTCGTTCTCCGATGTGGATGGTTTAATTGTGGAACTTTCAACAAAATTGTCATGTTGCTCGGAAGCTCCACAACTAAACCACCATTCAGCTCAGAGAACAAAAATTGGCTGAATATTATTAATTATGTTAATTCTCAGTACACTAATCCCACTTACTTGTAAATTTCTAAACCATACATAATGTGGTCCATCTAAATAAATCGTTGGTTTTGTACATTGAGTATTATTAATTTGATCGTTGTGAATTTGTTTATTAGTACAATATGCTAGTAATGCACGCTGTTCAGGACTTTGAGCACTGATAAGTGAATCTGGTCTATCAGGGTTAGATGAAGACATCTAAAAAATACCAACAAAAAAAGAAGTTCGACAACCATGGCGAAAACAAGAAAGATAAAAGATACCGTTACATTAGATATTCGCAATTAGCATGATGTATTCCAATATTAATGCACAGATAATCTAATGCTACAATATGAATAATACGCGCTTGATCAATAGTAGTGGCACTAATTCACACTTAGATCGTCCTTACACATCAAAGCAATCAGTCTTCTAAAAAACTCTATCAGTAGTCCTTTTAGGCTTACTGCCGGTCCTAAGTCCGGATAAGAGAAGGTTTTGCATGGGATCACCAACCCAATCCCATAAAAAACAACCTTGCTAGAGAGACGCTAACGAGAAAAAATTGTTTAGACTATTCATACTCTACCCTGGAAGTTGAAGGATCTTTATTTAGGAGAATTATTACGCCTCATGATGAAAATCGAGATTCTTCAGAAGTCATTATGCCAATCCACCCTTCCAACAACCAGGGAAACAATTAATATAGATATGTGGAATGTTCGGACAATGTGGGAGATTAGGAGGACCAGTCAAATTGCTGAGGGAATGAGGAGATACAATTTGATGGTGGTCGGAATAAGTGGAAGCCATTGAACTCAACCTGGACAGAAAAAATAAGATTCGAGAGATGCAGTTGTACACTATTTATTATTTATAAACAATTGTCTACGCAGCATACTCAATGCCTATTGACCGGATACCATCAGCAATAGCCCACTGTGGGAGAGAACAAACCAGCTTCCAGCTAAAGAGGAAACTAGAAAAAGATGCCAAAGGTGAATAGGACATACACTGTGGAAATCATCAGAGCGCATCACAAGGTAAGCCCTAACTCAGAATCCCGAAGGCAAAATGAAAAGAGGAAGACCGAAAGACATATTGCGAAAGGAATTGGAGACAGACATGAAAAGAATGACTAGCAAATGGAAACAATTGGAAAGGACAGCACAGACAGAGTTGGTTGGCGGTCTATGCTCCCATGAGGGGTCACAGACGTAAGTTTCCTGAAAATGAAAAGGATGATACAATTATTCTGTATAAATAAAATGTGCACATGATTCTGAAAGGCATATAACAAGTTAAGATATTAGATTATTTGGTTACTAAGAGAACGGCAATGATCATGATAAAAATACGGATTGTTTGTCCATGACAGATTATTGTTGCAAAAAAGTATGAACTTTAATAGTAGGTTAAGTAATCAGAAATTTCAAAATCTCTACTGAATCTTAAAATAATCTAATTCTTAGGGAAATACTACTAAAAGCGAAGGGATGAACCGAACAACCTTTGTTTATCAATAAGCAGCATAAAAAGTGATGAGAGAATAAGTTACGTACATAAAAATGGGTCCAATGAATAGTAACTAATTGAAATGAAGTTTAACTTTTTTTAGAACACTAAATTTCTTTGAATGAGCAATAGAATGGTAAATATTAAGTACGGAATTGACACGTACCATAATAGATATCCAGATAGTGACCAGGCCATCACATGTCAAATGAAATTCCATTAAGAAAACATTACTCTCCTGACTAACACATATTATGAAAAAATACAGAGGGTAAAAAACATAGATTACACATTAGATATATTTGACTGTCTATCTAGAACATCAACCAATCAAAGTTGGCTTCTACCTACACAACATCGGTGGTCATGCTGAATGTGTGGACTTTTGATTCATTACTTGAAGTACTTAACCATTCATCCATTGCGTCATTGGTTGAAACTAATTTAACTACTTTGGTTTTGGATAAATGAGTAATAGTTGAATGAACTAACTTGGGTGCATTTTTGTTGGGTTTTACAGTAGTGCGTATTTGAAATCGTGAACCGATCAATATTAAACCACTATTGAAAACCTGAAAGTACTAAACGGGTTTTTTTCCTGATATGAAACTTCTCGGCATTGGGTATCAACGACCTCAAACGCGGGAATCGGACCCAATTGTATATTACTTGATAGTACAGATCAGGATTCGGGCCCAATGCCTTTAATTTCCTAGTTAAGCCAAAACTTTCAGATCACTAAATTCTTACTGACTGTGAGCACCGAAATAACTGTCGAGTGTCCTTGTTTTGTAGGGGTCTTCTAGTTGGACGTCAATAAGTAATGAAAATTACGTTCAAATTGGACTCAAACTTGAGTTTGCACAAGATTTTGATTAATATAACTTAGAATCGGTCACAAAGATACAGATCCACTCACTTTTTATCTTCCTCTAGAGATTTTGAGTTCCAACATTCTTCCACGACTACATTTTCATTCAGTCTTTTCAAATCATACTCTACTACACCGTTTCGACCCATTTATTATTCATGTTGGTAATTTCATCTGGTCGTGCTGATGTGGTACGAGAACCTGGGGTCAACTCACAAATGTGTCAGACTACAATGACTATGACTGACTGACGTAGGCATCTTAATAAAATTGTATCAATCGATGGACGCTCATTTTTGTTTAATTAACTAACCTGTACAACAGTGAATTCTGTCATCCGATCGGGGCATATTCTTTCAGCAATTAAACAGCCCAATTTAATAGGATCTAAATCAAGATCATCAACGATTCGAAGTGGTAATGTCCATGGATTACTATAATACAATTTAGGCATCCAATACATTAGACGACGATAAGCATTCATAGCATGATTACGCCAACCGAAAACGTCGATAATCATTTGGCCAACTTCATCATCTGGCAGGACGTCTAGTGAATTTCAACGTAATAATAAAAAAACTTCACATAAGGTATACAAAAAACTACTATAATTTAACTGTATATACACTGCGTTATCAAAATTAATCCAACCGAGACAAAAATTCTAATGATTGCAAATATAAATTTGAAAAAAAACTATTTTATTCTCTCCGCTCCATTACTCATTCAAACAATACCTACAATCGACTCGTAAAAAAATTAAATTACTTTGCTTCAACCTTTTGTCCCTTTTTATTCTCATTTTGTGTAAACCCCTGTTATTCAACTCATTCAGTAACTCATACCAAAAGCTCTGTTTTGTATAAACTATGTCAAGTCACTGAATGTTCAAATATCTGAATGTTACTACCGAATACAAAATTTGAATCAACTTTCCTGAGGTCATGTGTACCACTTTGAAAGATTTTCTCCAAGGTCAGGACACTGTAACAGATAGGAAAACAGACATGTATTTAAAGAGTCTTAGCGTTGATGTTTTCCACCCGGCAGACCGTATTCGAAACTCTGAAGAAAAGCTACAAATTGGTTCTCTATCTGTTGATTCGGAAAATTTGTTTTATAGGTGCTTATCCAGGGATACGACGGTACCATAATTCGGTTTCGCTGGCGCTGGTGCCAAACTAAGAGACATAGCACGGGCAGAAACAATCGACTGGACCCCATTGACAGTCGTTTATGTCATGATGCTGGGGTATCAAAGAAAGTTGTATAGGACTAACATTTATACGCACTGTAGAATCTGGCACATATATGCGTCAGTTTAAGTTGCCACATCATACCAGCGCACCAAGATACCAGAGTAGTAGCAGTATTAATGGCAATAGAAAAGATTAGGCTTAAGAGATATGATTCAATAAAAAAAGAAGTATATTAAAGAAATATACTTCTGATTAATAATTATTAGTCTCGTAATTTAAAAGCTTACCATTAGCAAATCAGACTAAACGCTGTTGACATTTATTATAACGAACTGATTGGTATTAATAAAATGAATGGAGTGGTTGAGCCAATCTGTTTGGTAATAGAATCGATATTATTCCACAATGGGGAACGAGCGAAAACTAGATTTTTATGTAAGTGTACATTTCCTCAAACGTACCAAGATCGATTAAAAAATAAATTTTAATATTTAATTCTAATGGATGAGAGTTGTCAATCATCATTATCAAATGGAAACCTGCCATGAATATGTATCAATTTAAGTTTGATTTGCAACATCAGGACAAATCAACAAGAGAAGCAGAGAAATTAATTTCATAACACTGTAAAACAGTGCAAAAGGAACGAATGAGAGTGAAGAACGAAAAAAAAGTTTGAGAATGAGTACAACTGTTAATTTTCATTCGCAATGTATGCAATTCGGCATTTTGGACTATAATGTCTATCATTGAATGTCTTTAAGGATTATCCCAGGCTACTGATTCGATTTGTCGGACAAAAATGCCTACACTTTAGCCCGAAATTGAAAACATCAATCAGATACTACACGAATTGATCTGTCTATTTAGTATTATTGACCATCTCTATCTAAATGCTATTAATTCTGGTTGTATACTATGGTATGGTAAACAGTCGCTGATAATATGGAATAATGAATTAAACTTACAATTCAGTCAGTCAGCTACAACGTAGGACCAGGCACATATATCCCCCGATCCAAGTTGCCATACCTCATTAACACAACAAGATGAACACTGGATTCATAGGAGTGGTTAATTCAGAGGTGGTAATATGTAAAGGAAAGATTGCATATAAGGATATAGTACAGGAAGAAAGAATTAGTTCGTAGAAAGATATGAACCGATTTTAATCTCTTAGTTTAAGGGAAGACAGGGAGTGTATACACCGACGCCATTCTGATCGATTCTGAGCAATGTTACCAAGAGTCTCCAACCATTGGTTACGATAGTCACGCGGACCCCAACCAAGTAGTCTGCATCTGCCAACATGGCTCAGACTAGAAGTTAGTGACTTCAAGCACTGACGCCACGTTTTGGTTTGACCGCCCCTAACTTTCTTTCAACCATCCCAAATACCGGTTAGCATTGCACGTCGTGCTAATCGGTGTTCAGGCATACGTAATACGTGGCTCAACCATCTCAGTCGATGGAGATTCACAACCCCATCGACTGATTTACCATCATTACCTAATACCCTGCGTCTAACCTCACTATTACTTACCCGGTGATCCCAGCAGACGCCAACAATATTTCTAAGGCATCTCTGGTCAAATACTAGTAGCTTACGAGTGTCTTCTACTCTCAATGGCCATGTTTCGCTGCCATAAATTAAAACGGAACGGACTGCCGCGCAGTATACTCTTCCTTTTATTGATAGACGGGTATCTCGCCTTCGCCATAGGTGACGTGAGTTGGCAAAAACCAGGCGAGTTTTGCGAATCCGTGCTGAGATTTCGTCAGACATCAACCCATTAGGGCTGATCAGACTTCCAAGATAAGTGAAGTTGTCAACGCGTTAGACTACTTCACCCCCTATCCTTAGTTCAGGTGTTGACGTAGACCAGTCCTGAAGCAGTAGCTTACATTTAGAGGGAGGGAAGCGCATTCCAAACATTCTGACATTGTTGCTTAGTGCTACCAAAAAACTCTGCATTTTATCAGCGTCTTCACCAAATAGGACTACATCATCTGCGTATTCTAAGTCGATAAGTGGACCTTCTGGAAGGAGATCAATATCCGAGAATTTAGTCGACGAGAATGTTATTTCCATCAGTAGGTCCATGATGAAGTTAAACAGAAATGGAGAAAGTGGACAGCCTTGACGGACACCACCTGAGGTTGCAAAAGTAGATGACAGTTCGCTATAAGCCCTGACTCGACTAGTAGTGTTCGAGTAAAGAGCCTTCACAAGGTTTATGTACTTCTGGGGTACGCCTTTCAATGACAGACACTGCCACAGAATCTCGTGGTCTACCGAGTCAAATGCTGCTTTTAAGTCAAGAAAGACCACCATTGTCGGACGCCGATAAGTATGCATATGTTCTAGAATCTGACGAATGGTGAATATATGGTCGATGCAGCCACGACCAGGTCTGAAGCCAGCTTGATTCTCTCGTGTTTGCGCACACTTATAATTAGTTGTAACAGTTTGTTTTTTATTCACTTTGATATTCAGTATTGAATTTGATTTATCTGACAATATATGGGCTCTCTAAATGCATGGCTACATAATCCCTATACTTGAAAGGTGGCTATGAATACAAGACTCATAAGCTGGGTTTGTCTACATACCAATGTTGATAATCACAAAGGGACTCAAACTCAATGCCTGTTGCTTTAAATTTCGGATCTATAAATCATCAGACTAAAAGAGTCACAATAGAACACTTACATTGATGTAAAAAAGATTTTTTTATGTAATAAAGAGATTCAACTCACGATATCTTGACATTTGACTTAATATGTCAATCATAACTTGTTGTTGTTTTGGAAAATGACCAAAATCAGCTTGTAAGAAACGTTTCACAACCATTCGTCCAGTAGGAAATAAACGAATTACTGCTTTATAACAATCTAAATCATCAGCCACTTCATATTCAGGCATTTTAATTAGTGCATTTTCAATAAACGAAGTGAAACCTTTACGACTTGGTCCTGATCGTTGAATAAACATTTCTAAAATATGCTGTAATAATATAACAAGAGATAAAAGTACAAACTTTAGGTATTACATGTTATTAGTTTAATCAGTCATAGAAGAATTTTAAATATGGTATACATGCATATCATTGGTGCATATCGTAACACGTCAAATCAACGTAGTGAAAGATAGAAATATACGAAGTTAATGGGATGCGGAGTGAAGTAGAGGAAATAGTAACAACCGACTAAAAATACGTTATCTTTTTCTTCCAAAATATGTTGCTGATTAGGTGTAGAAGGAAAAATGACTAGAGATAGTCAGATAAATATATTATCAGTTTATGGAGTCAATGATCGTTGTTAGAATTCATGTTAATAAGTATAACTTTTGTTGCTTGATGTCTAAGAGTTGTTAGAAATCCCAATTGTGGACAAGTGTTCGACTATGAAAATGTCGATGTATCGGACAAAGATAATATAGAGGAAAACCACTGACTTAGCAGCCAGGTTACTACGCAATCAATAACCATACTGAAACAGACCAAATTTATCAACTTGTTAGAGAAAATTATCACTAACTATATGGTCAGGAATCAAGTTAAAGAAAATAATCAAAATGAGTACGAGAATAATTGCTATCCATGTTACTTCTCATTTAACTATCGTTAATTTGTTGACTTCCACTAGCTACTCTGGTATGAGGTATAGCAACCTGGATAAATGCGCACTCATTGTGCTTGGGTTCTACATTGATAATAACTAAATCAAGTAAATTATAATGTAGCTAACACTTTGAAAAATCATATATAACAAGTGTATATAAATACGGTAAAAGAAAATACATCCTGTAAGTATTGCTTACAAGGAATGTACGTTTCTTCCATTTTCGAAGTTCTGTCCTAGTCATACTAGTATCCGATCCTTTCCAATGTAACAATTCCGATTTTTCAACTTCTTGGACTGCATCCAACCACTCACTAAAATTTTCGAAGGGAAACAAAATACAAAAATTGAATGTGAGTGTAAGTATTCTTCGAAATGCTAAACATTTCCCAAATAGTTATGTTAAGAAGCAAATAAACCAGTACCGAACTAGTGTTTCGTGATACCTCAGAAATATACGATTTTGATACCTACCAAAATGGAATAACTAATTTCAATTTAAGTAATTTTTAATAGTTAAATTATAGAAGCTGTTTACACAAGACAATGAGTAGAGCTGTAATAAAAGTCAGGCTGTAATCGACTGATATTTTTCTGTTAGTTGAGTTTCTAAACATAAGCAAGCTAAATGGCGATTGAAGTGAAACTGAACGAAGGATCGGAATAATAATGTATTAACGTAGCAATTGTTACACTAATCTCAACTGTAAGTCCTCTTATTTTGATTAGTAGCGAAATGAACCATGAATTAACAAGTCTTTGATATAAAAGTAACAGATTATCTCTTAACACCAAAACAAGAAAACATAAACACGAAGCGATACATCGAATTAAATTTAGTGAAATTAGAATGAGTGGTAAAACATTCTGTATGAAATAATACTGTTCATACTCCGAGTAGTGATGAAAATTAAGTGTATTTTGTTTGCTAAGATCAATTTCGAAGCAGCTTAAACTAGCATTTACAACTGAATTTATCATGTCTCATGAGCTTATATCAAAAAGCCAACAACTTTTGATATAGCTCAAAGGCAAGTAAGGACATAAGGTTTTCATGAGATGTTTCAATTTTTAATCAATAAAGATTTTTTTAAAAGTATCATAATGCACAATAAATACTCAAAGAGTGATAAAACATTGAAGTCTACAAGTGTCGTTTATCTCTGATGTTCATGTTCTATAGGTTCATTTTACAAGAAAGAATACTTTTGAACTATACAACTGATACTAAACATGCTGTTGAAGGTTTGATTTGTCACTTAAGCTATCATTGTTAGACTATTTAGAAGACAGTGGTAAATGTATTGATTCCGCCGTAATTACATTAGAAAATTTTTTGGCGACATTTGTATTAAGAATATTATGCAGCATGATAGACAGGTGCGTATATCATTGAAGTGAACAGTAACTATACAAGAATAGGAGGACTCCATGATTGCTCTCACTATATTATTGTAAGGCATTGGGAATAGTACAGGTATTTAAGTAGATGTTTTTGGTAGTAGTGTGGTGGACAGTATCAGATTTAGCACTATTATCATGTTAGTCTAATCAATATAAGGTCCAGTGTACAACACTTCGGTATCAGTACCTATATTATACTTTTGTGAAGCATGAGCTTTGAGCTGAGTACGTTATACGGTTTTCTGTTAGACCATCTCTGCTTTCGTAATATTACTCACCCTACATTCGATTGAGAGACTAGGTGACGTGTCTCAGTATATTGATGATAAATAAATTAGTGGAGTTATCGTACAACATTCACTTAAGGAGTTTGCAAACGCTCTTCATGTGACTGTTTCCTAACTGTGAAGCTGGCTGCAGTTGTCATTCTAAAGAATAATATTGAAATATGAAAAATCGCACTATCAGGTAAGAACTTGTTAGTTCATTAAGACTATGTGGATAAGATTATAGAAATTACGAAACTTTGTAAGTTGAAACATCATTAAACATGTTCATGTTTTTCATAGACAGTAAGATATATTTTGAGGGGAAAGAAATCTACCTTGGTTATATTTGAATTTGAATCATCTCTTTTAATATTATAGTCCTTATTGTAACCACAAGGTTCACTTTTTCTTTTTATTACAAGAATACTATTTCCTTTAGTGTGATGTCCCGTCGTCCTAAACTTTTTTGCTTCCCAATAAAGTATAAAATAAATCATGAAATTGACATCTTAACAACCAGAAAATTTGTTTAATCGTACAAGAAACAAGATTAGACTCCTGGCAATCTATGATCAATCAAAAATTATTCTGTTATGATAAAATAAGAAAACTTGATGATAGATCCAACTTACCTGTCATTTGGTACACTCTGAGAGTCTTTAGACTGACTAGAGGCAGCTTCATTAAGCTTCGACTTGATGAAAGAAAAAAATGAAGCAGGACGTGAAACAACTGGTATCATTAGTTTGGTTGTACCAAATCGATTCTCATAATCTGACATTCGATGTAAAACTGTGAATAGTCGCAATCTACGTATGAGTTCAATACGAGCCATTCTATTTCAGTTCAAATGATCTAGAGACGAACAAGGATATAAAAATTGACGAGAATTATGCTCAACCAACAGTAAACAAGCTGAATTTACTTTTACTTAAAATTGAGGATACAGCATTTTAATTTCTCCTAAAAATTTTATTTCTGCAAACAAATCTTTTTAGGATAATTTTATACTTTTAGCATTAAGACATTTACATACACAAATGGCCAAATGCAGTTAGTAACTTCGCTTATTTGCTGCCCATCTCAACAATATAGTAAGAACGCCGAAATATACTGACAAACCACACTGTCCCTTCGTCACCTCGGCCAAAGTTCCGATAACTTCATCTTAAATGGAGTACAAAGTGACTTACGAAAAACTTTACGCCTTAACGCTCACATTTATAAGCTAAATCAAACTGAAAAATACTTCATTGTGCCTGAGGGCATCACAGGAAAACGCATCAGATAACGGTGACCGTCTCCTCTAAATACGCTCAAACAACCGCTTAGTCCTAGCAACTACAAACTTTAAACGTAACAAGAGATAATGTGAGGACTGGTACCTTCTGACATCAACACAACGGTGGACACATCATCACCCATCGTTTGAAAGGCTTGACAAAAAACTGACATCTCTTTTCAGCTACAAGCTTGAACTCTGATCAGCTAGGGTGACTGGAATACTGGTAAGAGTTTGGGAGTAGGATATGCTCCCGTCTGACTGATCCTGATTTTCAGTTTATAAAAAAGGATAGCAATCTTCTTGTGATAACCACAAACAAGTCAACTCGACTAACATTGTTTGAAATATTTGTATCTATAATCACGTGATGCTTAACTAGAACTCGTCAGAAGCGAACTCAGGAGCATCGTGAATGTTTTACAAGTGAAGGTGTATGTATTAACTGAATATTTACTTTTCGTCAGATTTTGGAAAACAAGCACACATACCGGCGGACAGTTTCATGACCGCAAGGAAGCATCTGACCTTGTCGATTGAGAGGTTTCGAGTTTATCTCTGAAAGGTGTACCAAAGAAGTACATTAACCTTGTGAAAGTTCTCTACTCAGACACTACTGTTCGAATCAGAGCTTATGATGAAGTTTACCCGAGTTGTATACCTCAAGTGAAGTGCGTCAGGGTCTTCCACTGTCAGACTTTGTTCATATTATATATATATATATATATATATATATATATATATATATATATATATATATATATATATATATATATGCGAAAATTGGACAATTCGGTGCCTAAATTACGGCAGAAGTAGACAACTCATCGACATTTGAAACATAGAGAAACAAGAAGGGGTAAATTCCGCACTATTTACCCATAACAGGCGAAAAGGTGGACATTCTGGTGCTTTTCCTCATTATTTCTCCTTTATATTCAAACGAAATGTCCACTTTATTTCCACGTTGCTCTCCTTTATTTCCTCTTTATTGGTTGTTTAGGAACACAGTATTGCTATTTTGGTTAAACTCGTAAGACATTTGTTAGTTTAAATTACCAAGGTGTCATAAGATTATGGAGAAATATTGGGGAAAACCCGAAATTTCCCCATGACTTTTGAGACCTTGGAAATTTTGAGGTTTTGTGCCATTTCCCCAGAGCTTTTTGTAGCGGCTTCCTCAAAACTTACCTAAAACGGATGAAATTTTCCTGAAATAGGGAGATTGGGAGGTATTATAGTTGCAACTATGGTATCGTTTATACACAAACGACAGTCAAAGGCAATAACTATGTGTCTCTTATGTAAAAAGAAACAAGAATAAAAACACATGATCAAACATAAGTGTTATATAATACACAATACAATATGGTAATTCGGACATATTCTAACTCGAAGTTAAACGTGAAGTTAGACGATCAAATGTGCCTAATATTTTGCCCCAGACGACCTTGAGTTAAATGGGCAAATGATTGTTGACGGAATAAAAGCAACTTTCGTTTAACTAACTTCTGTATCTGTTAATAGTGGACCACTGATTTCTTTAAGTAAGAACCTAGGTATATTTACTGATGAGAAAAATAAATACTAGTATATCATTGTGAAATATCGTCTTTAGTCCTTAAGAATATGTCAAGTTTTTTCTTGTAGGACTCCTGGGAAATGGCTTAGACCACCTTAACTGGCAGAGAATTCAAGGATTTGACTACTCATAAAGAGTGAAAGGTGTGATTGTTATCTAGTTTTTTTCTGTTTTGCTTTTGATTTCTGCGTGCCACCCCTAAAATTTGTGTTGGACCTGAGCTTATGTGAATATTTTCGGAGGTGCTAAGAAGTGTTTAGGATTTTTTTAAGTCGGTAATTTGATCCGTTCTTTACAATGTTTGAATTTCAGTCCCCGAACTGATTTCGTGGCTCGCCTTTGGATACATGTCAATGTATCCTTACCAGACAAGAACAGGTCAGTCCTATTCCCTCAGCCCAAAGGAGAATCATCAACTCCTTCAGTGTTTGACTTCAATCGATTACGACCAATATCCAGTCAATATTTGGAAATACTCCATAAATTTCATATACTTTACTTCCTTTTTATCCTATTTCACAGCGTTTACCTTCTCCCTCAAATTATCACCTATGATTTTTGATCGTGTCCTCCACTTGAGAATCAGAGTTTGTAAGAGAGTGGAGGGTAAGAAAATGAAACAAGAATATCTTAATAAATATTGCGAGCAGGCCACTCAACGCCATGATGGTGAGTTACGATTTCCCTGTCGGCTTATCAGGTGTTTACCCACCTGCCTCTTGAATCGCCCTCAAGTCAAAAATAAAGAAGAATATACTTCGAGGAAAAACACGTAATTAAAGTCAGTCAAATCTGGGGAAGTGCTCCACTGTTTATACAAAACAATCAAGTAATCAGACCATGCCTTTAAAAATGGCATGTTTTGCCCTGGCAGAAAGATATTATATATATATATATATATATATATATATATATATATATATATATATATATATATATATATATATATATATATATATATATATATATATATATATATATATATATATATATATATATATATATATATATATGGAAATATAAAATTGTAAGTGATAAATGTTCATTTCCACATAAGTTTTTGTTTTCCAATACGGGTTGGTAACCTGGAAGGAAATAGACACGGTCTAGCCAACTCGATCACGATGATGCATTGAAACGGCAGATTACTTTTTTCAAGAAAAAAAATGCATGTGAATCTGTCAGAAGTTCCAATCATAACCAAATATACAACTGTAGTGACTCACTTTTATCACGAGAACACGAATGGTTTATTGAAAACAATTATTATTATAACCAATTGCACCAGTGACTGTTTCAATGTGCTTTTGTTTGACTGTGCTAATGACAGCTATATTGTGCTTCCATTCTTATTCTTACACTTTGATTGTAACTTCGCGCGAAACCGGTTACGTTCTGTAACCAACCTTGTATCCTGGCACGATTTCGGTATCCTTTCGATACCACGAGATCGCCAGCGAATACACCTCGATTTGGTCCATTAATTGCCTTCTGATATTTGGCTTCTCGGGGATTTTATGAAGTCATTTGGCACTAGCTTCTTGGTAGCGGTGTTCATAGTAAATCTGCACTCGACACCAAGCTACACAACTATGGGTTTGTGACAGTAGTCTTAAGCTGTAGTGTCATGACAACTCTTTACCAGTAAAACTAAGTTGTTACAAAGCATTGTGTAGTATGAGAAAAATTGAGGTTTGTCGTGGACTTATAAAACTGATCATATGGATATGGTGTAAACCAATCAATTAAAAATGAGTTGGAACCCAGTATTTTGGGCCCACTGATCAGGTATATACGACTGACATTATCGAAAGATTTTAAGAAATCTATGTATATGACAACAACTCTCTCCCTTCGATCAAAAACGGCTGTCCGCCTGTTCACAAAGGTCAGAAGGTTGGTTGCACAAAGATTTTTCTTCCTTAACCCATGCTGTTTAGGTCTAAATAAGATTATGGATAACATGTAAATAGTTGTGTATCAGAGACTTCGTAATTTCTGATGGTAGTGATAGAAGAGCTGCCAGCTGAAAGGTTCGCTCAGTCAGTTTCTCCCAAAAACTGACTCAATGTGCGTCGACCTTCAATCTTCTGGGACCGTGCCTCAGTTTAGTGAATATGAGACCCTTGTACTAAGCGGCCTTGTCAAGAATAAAACCGCCTCTCTCACTATAAGCTTATGAATCAGGAGAAGTATCTATGCTTAGGTGCTACGGTTTATGTTGCACCAATTCAGTGCTCAAGTTCACCTCCAAGAGTCCCGTTGAGTTGCCGGTGAAGCCCTAGTCGATGTGTTTTGTATATGACGGTTGAAACGTATGAGAATACTGTTCTGATAGATGCTTGACGGTATCAACAGGGTTGCTCCGCCCCCATTCCTGTTTTTCTGTTGTCGCGGGACTAAAACGTGCCGTACAATGCCAGTCCTTTGTCAATAACATAAAATGATGCCTTTACTTTAGACAGTTTCATCAGATGAGTATTATTGACTTCACATAGTTCATGCGATTTACCCATTTTGTATGGTCAACTTGCAGCGTTTCTGTATCAGTAGTTGGTGCTTACAATTTAAAACGCTAGATATTCCTCGTTCTTTGTCTGCATGGACCTTGTGTGAATGAATTAGCAACCTATCCACATAGAGTTTTCCAAGCACACAGTCCTCGTCCCTCTCCCTTTGTCCCTTGTTCTTGACAGTCTACGAGTGTGATAGTCAGTTCTCACTTGCTTGTATGCTTAATCCTTGCATCATGTGACCCGTCCAGATGCATGTGAATTCCATTTGGTGACCAGAGTGTGTCAGCTTAGAGTGCCTTGAAAGTGACAGCAGTCACTTCAGAGGGTGGGAAATCTGTCTTTATTAGTCTGGGTCCAGAATCCTCATCGCTCTCGGATAATAACACCATTTGTTGTGACACGATGTACTTGGGCTTCAAGGACCACTTCATGAATTTCAACTCTAGAAGATTATGGTCTGCATAGTCAGGATCCGTGTTTTCCAGGTCGTCTCGCATAATCATCATGTTCTTGATGAGGTTGTGCCCAGAGTATAGTATGTCTTGCGATATTCTTCATCCTCCACCGATTTTAGCATGTGGCTGGCCAGAAGAACATATGAAGAATTATGGTCTACTATGATATTAGTACTGTTCTAATAATAGACCTAATCCTATAATTGTAGATTTGTCATGATATAACTGCATAATCTATAAGATCTTACGGGAAAGTCGCATAATCGTCTACACCAACTCACTGCATCGTAGTAGTTACCAATATATGATAGAGAACAATCTTAGGTTGGAGGTGGAACATAACGTAACATTCAGCTGGGACCTCGCCTGTATGGCCGAGTCATACCATACGATCAACTCCAATTAATTCACTTCCTTCTTCCCGCCCTCATCATCGTCGGGTTTTTCTTTGTGTTAAGTGTTGAATGTCTATTTCCCATATTGTCTCGTGCTAGGGCCCACTGCCACTACACATACTGTACGTCAGTAGCGTTGGTGGACGTTACATGAGGGAGTTTTGTTTGTCTTTGATTTTATATATCCTTCCCACAAGTAACTAGCATACCATTAGTGGCTCAATTTTTAGAATTTTGGGCATCCTATTTAACTATTCCCAAAGCTTCCCGTCGTTTTTGTCCTGCAGATTGAAAGCTCAGGGCCGTCTAAAAGGTTCATGATTGCGAAAGAATCATAACGAACCATGATTGCTTCTCCAGGTTTTAAAGTACGCTAAGGTTCAAGTCCCTTTAGTTTACAGTTGGATTGCGTTTCTGATTTTCGTTCTCTTTGTTGACTGGTTGGACAATCTTAGGAGTAGGTTGACAGCCAACTCACTGCCCGATTTTCTAACAAGCACTAGGCTGTTCGGTGTTTCTGATGTTGGCAATAGATCGCTTCCAATTCTGTTTTCACTGATCTAGCCGCCTACAGTAGATCATTGGGGGCCACAATTGCATTTAGAGAGTCTGTGTTGGTCAACAGTTCACTGGAAGAATCTAACACTGTCGATATTACGGAGATGCTTGGTCTCAGCATATTCTCATTGATGTTGACGCATGTTCCACCAACAATGTTATCGAAGAACCTCTTCAGTATCTCAATGTGAGTTTTTGTTTGTCTGTCTATTTTGGGACTGCCTTTTATCAAAATTGATGAAACTTTTCTCCCCAAACCTGTCAGGAGGACGATTATATTGCTCAGCGATTCTTAAGTATTCATTTTGCATGCGCTTAACACACTTACGTACTGATTAGCTAAGTTTGTTGTAATCAGTTATTCTAAGGTATGTCAACAACTCAAATTAGGACCTCTCTGGATCAGGCGTGTTAAATTGAATCTTGTCTTTATCTACCGGTGAACCTCCGTTACAGTGAAGTCTCCTTGAACGTTTTCTTTCCGAAAGCGGATTGCGTCACCTATTGAATATCAATGTATTTAATAATGATTTATACAAACAAGGTCCCCCATCCATCTAATTGACTGAAAAGCAAAATGTAATCTTTGAAACTTTTCACGTCTACCTTATTTTATTTCTATTCATTTTAATATATGAAGCCTGCTTATGTTCGTATCTATAATTATTACTGCTATTAATATCACCATTGGTCCCACGGCACATTAGATATTCTTTTTATATTTTCATATCCTTCTTAACATATTTGGTTCCTGATCGTCCTTCGAAATCAATTGTGACTTTCATAGCATTATTCCTAATTATCATTGCACAAATGTTCATACTAATATCCAGTTTCACTCTGTATATTATTACATAAATTTACATGTATTTATCCGAGTGCACTAAAGGATTTATTTTATTTTTCTAAATTGTTGGTTTACTTCAGAGGTCGAAATTTTTTTCACAATTACCATTATTATCATG